TGTCCTCAGGGGAATTAATTTGTCAGATGTCTGAAATGGCAGCTTCTCTACTGAGTTTTGTGCTCCTTTTCCTGTAGCTTGGGTTTGATCCTGCTTCATTTTGTAAATGCAAACCGAAGGCCATTATAATGGATTGGCAGATGTTACAACCTGAAAAAGGAAAGTGTTTGACTAATCGCAGGTAGTCTCTGGCCATGTAGGTTACTTCTTTGTGCAGGTTGGAGAAGCTTGGTAAGGAGCAGAAACAAGGTGTTTCTACTAGGGGAGGATGCTTTGAGAATAAATGTGGGAGTGATTGGGAACAAACCTACCATCAGAGCTTGTATGCACTCTTTTGAATGCAGTTAAATGCTCAGACTTGAACCAAAAAGCATCAAGGAGACTGAACGTTGTCTAGTCAAATGCTAATGTGAGTTGAAACAATACAGCTCTTTAAAGTATTTTTGTGCCTTTATTATTATGAATTATGGCTGCTCTAGGATCCTGTCTTGAGTGATGGTGAGAGCTTGGTAATCTTAACAAAGATCTCCAGTTTTCCTGGTCCTCTCAGAAGGCCAAATTTCCCATGAAAAAATAGATGGGAATGTAAGGAATGGAAAAAAATGTCAGAGGACAAACAATTTTATTAGCAAGATTGATCCTGACTGTTCTTTAGCTTCTGGGGCATTCTAAGGCAACAAATAGGTATATTCTGGTATGCTAAAACTGTTGAATATGCAAATAGGCGATGCATGTTGCAGAAAGGAACATACAGCTTGTCTGAAATACGAATCTTTCTTCCCCTATGGATGAATGGTTCACTAGCTTTGTTTTGTTTGCAGAGTACCGCTCACTGCAAATGAGTTATTGTGCCTGTGTGTGGTGTTACCTATGCCTATGGTGTATTCTTAAATTGAAAACGGTTGTGTACTGAAAATGCAGACATGCATTGTTACGGCTGTCTGGAGAGGAGCTGTGGGAGTGCTGACAGTTGGGTAGGAGGTTTTTGGGATAAACCCTGCTGATACGAATGAAGGTGGTATTTGTCCCCATTTGGAGTCTGCACACATGCAGGGAGCACAAAAATTCTTCCCAAGTTGTGTTATATAGTTACATAGTCCATGGTACAAATTTGTGATTGGGAAAGCTGAGATGAGGAATCTATTGGACGAAATCTTTTATAAAGAAATAATCAGGCCAATTCTGACCAGACTGACCTCAAAGGTTGGTAAGTTGGCCTCACTCTGTTTATAGGAACTGTCTGGTTGAGGTGTTAATGTGGTGTGATGGGTAAATACATGCACATAAGGGAGGAGGGGAAGCATGTGGATCAGTATTGCATTGCAGCTGGTTCATGGCTGTGATCACTCTTGGTTCTCTGAAGTATTCGTTTGCCTTTTACATTGTGAACTTAAGCTATCTAACTTGAACATATTATCATTTTAATTCCTAGATGGGAATGATGAGCAATCCCAGCCCTTATGGCCAGCCATATAGTCAGAATACCGGGCAGCAGATTGGAGCCAGTGGGCTTGGGCCTCAGATGCAGAATAAAGCTGGACTGCAGAATAGTTTACCACAGTTTCCAATGGACAAGAAGCCAGTTCCTGGGGCAGGAATGTAACATGGTAAGTAGAATGAAAGGTGTCTTCAGAAAATGTTGTAGTAGACCAAAGTGGAGCAATATGCTCTGGTGTTGCCATGTTACAAGTTTTTGCAGCTGTCATACCCAGTGTGAATGTGTGCTCTGAATCCACGCATAATGCACTTGCCTCAGCTCCTGAAGAGGCCGATGTGAAGGAGAGGGCTGAGTTGTGCTTTCTCTGTTGATAAACTGCACCTCCACTCTTCACCCTTCAAACCCTGTTAGCAGAGAAAATTAAATGGAGCTCCTTAACTGAACTGAGCTTTGCCACCTGTTTGGACACCCCTGTTCTCCTCTCCCATCCCTTCTCTTGTGGTTGGTGTATTGGGCCCATTCTCCTCAGCGTAGCTTTGTCTTGAGGATTGTTTTCCTGCTTGTACTCAGTGATGCTTTTGGGAGAGAGAAGTATCTCTTCTCAAACAGGTATTACCGATGATAGGGCTTAGAAGCCCCAGTTGTGTGCTCCTTCCTGTTCTGAATTACATGAATACACACAAGAGTCCTGATGCTGGAGGTTCTCTGGCAGTTTTTGCTATAGTAGCTCTGTTACCTCCCCCTGCCCGCCCCCCCACCCCACCCCCGCCCCAGTTATTGCAGCAGGACTTACGGAAAGGGGAAGTAAGAGTGGTGGGAAAAGTGCATAGCCAAAAAGTGGATGGCCCAAGCTTATAAATGACAGGCCTTAACATTAGGTTCCCTAGCTTGAGCTTACCACTGGCGGCTGAATGTGTTTGCCTTGTTACTTCAGAAGCTTAAATTGGTTAGGGGTATGACATGCAACATGTTCTGCCTTTTTTCCCCCCATGTGTATTTTTACTTTGGGAAACAAGTTCACATTTCTGAATATAGCTTGTGTTTCACCCTGCTTCAAATTCTAGCCCCCCACCCCTCAGGAGGGTCACTCTCTTGATCTTAGTAACTGTTGCTGAAAAAACATTTCCAGGTAACTTTTGTACCTTTGAATTAAAAAGAGCTCAATCCTGGGAGTTCTATTTAATGGGTTTTAAGCTGAGCTGAAACATTGGAAGCTGTTGTATGAACCAATAAACAGCTAAAACTTGCTGTTCAGAACCCCACCTGTCACGCTTCTGTTCAGTGCAGAGTATATAACTCTTTTGAAGTTGAACTGCTATGGAGCTGAACCTAGGAAGGAGAAGTTGCTGCACTCTCAGTTGTCACTTAGAATGACAGGCTGCAAACAAGGCAGTTACAGTCATATTGGAACATACACAGACCCTGAGGGGACTGAGTAATTGGTGAAGTCTCCTTGTAAAATGAAAGGTTAATACTAGTATTGAAGAGCTACGGGAGAACTGGGGTTTAGGAGTGCAGGTAGCTGAGCTCTAAAAATCTGGAGATGTCCAGAAACGTCCTCTAAAACCCTCTGTGAGGAGTCTGTTAGAAACTGAAGGCTGTTGAACTGAAGCGATAGAGTCTCTGAGCCTCTCTTCTTTGCTGAGTACTCCTCAAATGCCACCTGGAAGAAATACGATGAAGTCTGAAGAAATAAACAGAAGTACAGAAGAAGTACTAGATGTTGCCAAACTTGATGTTAGTTCTGTGGCATGTATTATCCTGAAGTTGTGCTTCATCTTAGCAGATACTAGGAGATGCTTGTTTTGAATGCCTATGTGCAAGTTTTGTGATAGGAAAAAGGTTCCCAGAACTTCCCCTTCATTCTCCTTTTCTAGGAATTGTCAAATTGAGGCACCCCATACTGCAATAGAGGGAAAACTCTTTTCACTCTAAAAGGTGCTTTCTTCTGTTAATGCAAGAACTGTGGATGCAACTTTCTTGCCTCCAAAATGAGGAGGAGATTTGAGTTCTAAGTGCTATTCGTCTAGCACTGCAAATTAACCTGTGAGCATGTGCAAAGTTCTGCTGGCCTTTGATAAGGCAAGAGCTGGGGCTAGGAGAGGGTGATATGGTGAAGAAATTGTGGCTGGCAGGAGAATTATTGCCAGGACTGTTGGTAAGGGGTATATTTAATATGGTCACCCAGAAAGAACTACAGGTAGGTGGGCTACTGCCTTAATCACAGAATGTAGTAGCTGTTTCTGTTCTTTGATTTTTGTTGTTGATGTTTACTTGCTAAATGGTTTATTCTCAAAAATAGATTTATTTCTGGGAATTTCCTTTCCAACTTCTCCAGGGCCAGCAGCAGGCTCCCCAAGTTCAACAAGCTGGGATGGGGCCAGCAGCTTCTCAAGGAATGGGATCTGGAGCACCGACAGCGGATCCAGAAAAACGCAAACTTATTCAGCAGCAACTGGTTCTGCTCTTACACGCTCACAAGTGTCAGCGGCGAGAACAGGCCAACGGGGAGGTGCGACAGTGTAACCTCCCTCATTGCCGAACCATGAAGAATGTCCTGAACCACATGACACATTGCCAGGCTGGCAAATCTTGCCAGGGTAAGCGGAGGAGTGGTTATATAGTTGCAGTCAACATTTGCAGGACGAGAAGGGTTCCTACAAAGAGATGGAGAACTAGTGGGTGGCTTGGGAAATGGAACTTTTTTTAACCTATCTGTCCCCTTAAGAATGGAAATCGTAAACTTCTGAGCCTTTACAGTTTAGGCGAGTTAGAAGGAGCAAAGATAGCACGAAGAGATGAGTGAAGATCTTTTGCTTAACTTCGTAACTCGCTGTAAGATCTTTTGGATGCTGCCTTCTGGTAAGTGTAGACACAAAGCAGGAATCTGCCGGTAGGAGTCTACCTGTCTCCCTTAAACAGAAGAGACAAATCTTGAGCAATAGCTAGCCAGGAGTTAAGCTGCTACTGGCACTGGTGACGTCTTAGTCTATCCTAGTAGCCAAGGAAAATGTATGCTACTTTTTTGGTACCCTAGGCTTGTCTGGGTTGTGCCACTTGCTGGCATCTCAATTGCTCGCTACGGTCTGCCTGATGTATATGGTGTTATCCTTCGAGCCAGGGAGACGTAGGCTCGGGTGCATAACAGAGCTTTCAAGTAAGCTTTAGTTGAACCTATAGTACTTGAAGAAATCTAGCTCTATTTTCAGGGCTAGTTAGTGCTGAACAATTTCAAGTAATACTTTACTGACTTGTGTTGATATCGATGTGTGCCCTGAGAGAAGTAGTTGCTCCCTACCCAGTTTGTGTTGACCATGTGGAGATCCTGGCAGTAGTTTGTAAAAGTTTTTCATTCATTTTCTCAGTGGCACATTGTGCGTCTTCCCGACAAATCATCTCGCACTGGAAGAATTGTACGAGACATGACTGTCCTGTATGTTTGCCTCTCAAAAATGCTGGGGACAAAAGAAATCAACAATGTAAGTCTATTGGGGAATTCTGTGTATTGGATAAACCATAAAATGCATGTTGGGAGTTGAACTTTCTTGCACCCAGGTGATAGTGGTGACGCTCTTGAACCTGGGAACATGTAATATGATTTTCCTCTTGCTTTAGAGTCGCAGAGTATTTTTGTCTCTGATAGCTGGTGTTTATGGAAGCTTTCTAACTTTATTGGATTTTCCTAGCAGGAGAGTGGTAAGGGTGAACAAGTCATAGCTCTCTCTCAACCAAATGATTGGCTTTTCACTACCACCTCTTCCAGCTGGCAAGGTTCTGGATAGATGTGCACACCCACAGAGGGTTGTGTCATTTCAGCTTTGATATTTGGTTCTGTCTTCACCCTTTGTTTGCATCAGATGTCTCTTTCCCCTTCTCTTTGTGTCCCCTTTGTCTCCCTGCCAAAATAATTGGCAAATTTTTTTGTGATCGTGTTACCTGTATGTTGTTGTCTGTGTGTCGTCCTGTGTGTCCCGCCTTTTTTCTTAATGTTACTTTGGGCTCTTCTCATGACTAATGTGAGCTGAGATATTACTTGTTTTAAGAAAATAAAATTTAAAAAGGCATTACAATGGCTGCTGAAGAGCTGTATATACCCTTCTGTCTTTAGCCTCTGTGATACAGTGTGCCTCTGTTTTCAGTTTGAAGCAAACAGATGTGTCCTAAATACTTCGAGCTGCTGAGAGGAAATCTTACTCTAAGGGAAAACAGCATGTTGTTGGAATGGCTGGTTGGGTCAAAACTTGTCTCCCTGTTTCATGACAGGTTTTCCAGACCTGGCCTCTTCTCTGCATGCTCCTAGAAGGAGATGTTTTAGTTCTGAACAGCCAGTGCACTCTTTATGTTCTTTGCTTGTTTTCATGGACCTCTTTGGCTACCTCCTGCTGTCCTTATTAACTTGGTATGTCTCTTCCAGCGCTGCTGGGCGGAGCTGCAGTAGGACTTGCAAACACTGGCTCTGTGGGCGTGGGGCAGCAGACAACACCCAGCATAAACACTACCAGTCAGATAGACCCTAGCTCCATCGAGAGAGCCTATGCAGCCCTCGGACTGACCTATCAAGGGAACCAGATGCAGACGCAGCCCCAGGCTCAAGTGAAGAATCAGCAGCAAGGACAGTCACCCCAGGGTCTGCGCCCTATGAATCCTATGAGTAAGTTTATCTGTTAGTGTTAAAATACAAACTACTTTCCCATGCTATATCTAATGCAAATTTTCGTAACCTACTAGCTTAATACTGCTAGTTAATTTGCAAAAGACATGGCTTTGCAATATTTTAGACTTGAGATGGCAAGCTACTCAGTGGAACAGGACCATCAGAGGGCCCAGATGCCTTCTCTTGGAAAACAAGTTCTCTGGGAAGTCTTTTCTTTGGAAAAATGATTTTATTTTTTTTTGAGAACCAATTTTCCAAAGCATTTTATTTAATATTGTATTGTAATGCAAGTTTCGTGCTTTTTAGGAGTTTTTCATTGGAAATGCATGAATTGGAATGCCTGTATTCAAGTGTACTTCCTTGTCATTCAGACTGCAGCATTTTACAGTTGCTTCTCACATATGTAATGTTTGTTTTAAAAATGAAAAGTAGTAAATAACAGGCTTTCTCTCTGAGTCCTGTCATGTGGACTTGTGTAACTGTACATGGTCTGGGTGGCTTATTGCAAAATCACAAAAGACTACATAAGAATTTTAATTTGAAGTGCAATTAATTCTAACCTGGCTGTCACTGGTGTCAAATGAAGTAACCTTTAACCATCAAATCTAATTTTGATAGTTTGAGATTATATCACAGGAATCTTTCTCACCCCCAGCTCTTTGCTTGAGTTGCTTAAGTAGAGGTGTGTTCTTAATAGAAAAAAGGAACGATGAGCTGGTAGGGATTTATCACAAGCTTGTATGGGATTGCAGTGACCCTGCCTATACGCCCCATGACAAGCTTGTGTA